AAGGAGGGCCACCCTGTAATGCGGTGTTAGTACTTTGCTAACTGCACATCAGCCTTCATAGCAAGGCCAAAGTGTGATAGGCCTTATCAGAATATATACATTTTGGTGAAACAATGAAGTGCTCCTAGTTTCAGGTCACTCTGTCCTGTTTCTGTATCAGAGCTTTCTGTATCAATGGCAGTGTCACTTCAGTAAAAAAAAATAAAAATCTTACATATATCAGCAAAAAGATTCCTCACAGCTGCAGCAATCAGCAAAAAAGGGAGTTTAAGACTTTGTATTGCACAAGGGTGAGCGATGAGGAAATCCACGCGTTCGCTTGTGTGAAGGCATAAGCCTGCATTAGCCACAGCAGTCCTGTGGCAGGGCTTTGGCAGCATTAGAGATCGTTCTAACAGTGTTTTTAGCTGCAGTATCACCAGATTGTTGTATGTTAGAAAATAGATACTGTTCCTCTCTAGTTGTTCTCTACCAAGCCTGTCTTCTATTTCCACAGGAGTAATGGTCTTTTGACAGAATTAAGGCTTTTAATACAAGTGGTTTTTTTCTCTATATTGCTGACCTTGACATAGCTTCAGTTTTCCCTTGTCTCTGCCTCCCTCTTGCTTTGTCACTTTTTGTTTTTCAGTTGGTCAAGGCTGCTGCGTTTAGTTCCAGTTAAGATTAAGTGAAGTGCTTGTAGGAAAAAAACCCTGCCAATAGTTTTGTTTCTGTCATTGAGGTGGTGTAATAAGACACAGGACTCGGGCAAATAAACAATTCCTGCCCTGAAGGCTTCAAGGATATAAAGCAAACAAGAACAGAATGAAATGCCAAATCGTGAGTGAGCTGTTGCATGAAGGTGTGTGCAAATCCTAGATGCCAGCAGATACCTGAAGTTGGGAATAACAAAATCAGACTCAGAGAGGAAGAAACAGTATTGGAGGATAAAGCAAGCTAGGCTGAGAGGTATTGTGTGTTCTCTCCTGGGTAGAGTAGGGCAAGAAGCAGTCAAGGTCGTCAGTAAAAAAGTTGTATAGCACTGCAGTCACGTGCTGCTAATTGAGGTGGAGGCATTTGAACAGTGACAGGGTCTGTAGTTACAGGTAATTAACTCTGAACCTCAGCACATGAGGTAAATCACGGTGACTTTTAAGTGCAAAGCTGCCTGTGTGTGAACACATCAGATTTGATTTGATTTTATTTGAATGATTCAATTTATTTTAATTAAATCAAATATTTTTAAAGTTGTTCTAGGAAGAAATGGGAATGATGATTAGGGTATCACAGAATCACAGAATCTCAGGAGTTGGAAAGGACCTCAAAAGATCATCCAGTCCAACCCCCCTGCCAGAGCAGGATCACCAGACCAGGTTGCACAGGAAGGCGTCCAGACGGGTTTTGAATGTCTGCAGAGAAGGAGACTCCACAACCTTTCTGGGCAGCCTGGGCCATGCTCTGGCACCCTCACAGTAAAAAAGTTTTTCCTCATGTTCAGATTGAACCTCCTATGCTCCAGCTTGGGACCATTGCCCCTTGTCCTCGTTGGCTGTCACCGAGAAGAGCCTGGCTCCATCCTCGTGACACTCACCCTTTACAAATTTATAAACATTAATGAGGTCTCCCCTCAGTCTCCTCTGCTCCAAGCTAAAGAGACCCAGCTCCCTCAGCTGCTCCTCATAAGGGAGATGCTCCACTCCCTCCATCATCTTTGTGGCTCTGTGCTGGACTCTTTCAAGCAGTTCCTGTCCTTCTTGACCTGAGGGACCCAGAACTGGACACAATATTCCAGATGAGGTCTCACCAGGGCAGAGCAGAGGGGAGGAGAACCTCTCTCCACCTAGAACCACACCTCTTCTGATACCGCCCAGGATGCCATTGGCCTTCTTGGCTGCAAGGGCACATTGCTGGCTCATGGTCAATCCTGCTGGCCACCAACACCCCCAGGTCCTTTTCTGCCTGGCAGCTCCAGCCACTCGTCCCCAGGCCTGTAGCGCTGCATGGGGTTACTGCAACCAAAGTGCAGGACCTGGCACTTGGCCTTGTTGAACCTCAGAAACCTCACAGAATGTTAGGAGTTGGAAGGGACCTCAAAAGATCATGTAGTCCAACACCCCTTCCAGACCAGGATCCCCTAGAGTAGGTCACACACGAATGACAGAATTCATAAAGCTATGTATTTAACACCAGAATTATTTACACTCATGAGTCAGTTCTTCACGTATTGCTCAGTGTCATCCTTTAGCTGGAAGGGCTGGGAACGAACATGACATATTTTCAAACTGGCAGTCAGACGTCATAATAATCGCTGTAATATTCTTCTTCCACTGACATTTGTTCAGAGTGATTTGCCTTTGGAAATACATTTGCAGCTAGTGTCCTGTCCGAGTCAAAATATGCAAGGACTCTATTTGGTTAAGTGTTATTTTTATGGGTTACAAGTGTTCTTTAAATCCACTTTGTGGTCAGTTTTGTCTTTAAGACATCTGCTTTGATTATTTGTCCTTCTGTTTTAACACATTTGTGCTTGCATCATATTAGCAATTGATTATTATGGTAATTTATATTCTTTTACACAATAATAACTGAACTTTCTCTAGTAAAGCAAACCCAATAATCTCACAAGCTCATAGGCCGCATGCCTTTTTGAAGACTTAGCTCCACTGCACCGGTAACAGAAAATCAAGCAGTATGTGGTTGCAAATGAATTTGCACGAGATAGATGGAAGAGTAAATAACAAGGAGAACCGGTAACAACTGGTGAGCTGAATTTGTTTTCATTTCCTTTGAATCATGGCCGCACTCATGGCTTGTGGTGTATGCATGACACTAGATAAGATGTTGACTCATGCATAAATGATAAAATATGTATTTAGCAATTACCCATCTTTAAAGTGTTTCTTTGAAATATTGAGGGGAAGATAAATCAGAAGGCATCTGACTACACAGATTGAGGATCTCATGTCGCATTATTTTAAAGAATATGGTCTCTTAATGTGGAAAAAGCTAGAAAAGTCATGAGTTGGAGATGAATGATGTAATGTGTTTCAGTAAATGATTTGTACTCTCATTTCAGGAGAAGCTGCTTTTATTATTAATTGAAAATAGTCTTTAGCATTTTCACATCTTTAAAACTCTTCTTCGTTCAAGGATGTCAGGTCAGGTTTTCTGTACTGTAGTATAAAGGTGTTGGTGTTACAATAAAGGAATGATATGATTATTAACTTTTCCCTCCAGGAAGGTGTGCCTCTCAACCACATGAGCAAAACCTTGTAAGTTTGTATGCTACTAGATGCATAGATACATACAGTTTGGGTGACTGCACGGTGACCGTGCAAAACCCCATACTCGGGGTTTTTGTTCTCTTAGTTGACAGGTTTATTGTTGGAATAACAAAACCTTTTGTAAAATTAGTGTTTCCCCCAAAAAAGTGCAAGAACTTCCCCTCCAACCCCCCGTATATCAGCTGCTTTATTCTAATTGACCTAGACTTTTACATTTTTCTGTTCTATAGTGAATGGCTGAAGTATGCACTGAGGGTGTAATGAGGGGCAGGGCAAATGAATGGTAGTGCATTCTGGTAATTATGTAGGGCCTAAGCTATATGCAGCTGATAACCTGATGATCAAAGGTACGTTTGCAATTTAAGTTGGTTTCCATACAAGACTCTTCCTTGAATAGATTATTTCTTGGGCTTCAATAAAATGGGCCTTACTCAGAATTACTGCTAATTTTCAGTATATTTTTGTGCTGATAAATGTTATTAGCAGTGACGTGCTTTTGGAAGGCACGCGAGAATTTCTGAAGACTTGATAAGAAGGTGGCACTTCTCCAAATGGTCAGTTCTGAAGCAGAGAAAAAAAAGATTTCGTTTTTGTGTTCTTAGGTACCATTAAATGCCATTGCTAATGGAGGAGTTTGGATTGAAACAACTGTGGGTTTTTTCATGTACAGCCTGCGCTCTTAGATAACTCCAAGAAATGAGGCAGTGGGAATTGGGAATGGTTTTGGGGAGGGAGCGAACTAAAAAATCAGTTAAAATTCAAGAGTTGAATCAAGGGAATTCTGGAGTAAGTATCTTTTCATATTGCCCTTAGCAAGAGCCCACACTCCATTAATAACATGTGCAACCCTGTTACTAGATCACTCATAACTTACATGCGTAAGTACAGTAATTTGATTCTTTTTGATATTTCAGTAAGTCCGTGTTTATGCTTAGAACTTCCAGCTTGCTCTTCCAGTGCTTGCTTTTCTATATCACCTCACTTTGCTTATATCTATTCTTTCTTCCTTTTCAATATTAGAATCCCTTACTTCTCTCATTCCTATGGTTTTGGTTCGTTGTTTTTGGTTGGTTGGGTTTTTTTTTTCCTAAAGGCAGAAGTTCCTTTCTCAGCGTAAATTATATTTGAATTTGTCTCTTTTGTATGTGTTAGTTTTTCTGTTTATTTTAACTATGCATGAACTTACCTTTGTGTAAGAAAACATACAAAGCAACAAAAGGGAATCTCTCAGTTTGTTTGTAAATCATAGATAGGTAGAAAGAAGATTTGGTAAGAAAGTCCTGGGATAAAAAGATTTTATAATGATTTAAACTGTCTGTATTTTGTTTTAGATTGTGATTTGGAGTCGTGGAGAAATCAGTCTTGCCACCATGGGAGAACGGACGGATTATACGAAGTCGCATAGTTCAGTGGCTGACTACAGCCCCGTCAATAAATCAGACAGGACAGATCCAAGTGACAACTTGGAAATGAAGGATGGAAACCAAAACACAATGCAACTGAAGAAAGAAATATCTTTGATAAATGGGATAAGCCTGATAGTAGGCAACATGATTGGTTCAGGTATCTTTGTCTCTCCCAAAGGAGTTCTCATCTACAGCAAATCTTATGGATTGTCGCTAATAATTTGGGCAATTGGAGGGATTTTTTCAGTCTTTGGAGCTCTCTGCTATGCTGAACTTGGTACCACTATTAAGAAGTCAGGAGCCAGCTACGCATATATCTTGGAGTCTTTTGGGGGCTTCATTGCTTTTATTCGTTTGTGGACCTCACTCCTAATTGTTGAGCCAACTAGTCAGGCAATTATTGCCATCACCTTTGCTAACTACATAATTCAACCTTTCTTCCCTTCTTGTGATCCTCCATATTTGGCTTGCCGTCTCATAGCAGCTGCTTGTGAATGTAAGTATTTCTTGACATTTACTATGATAATTTTTAAAGCTTTATTAAAAGAAATCCTACCATGTCCTGGAGTTGTTGCATACTGAATCTGCAGTGGTTTGAGTTACACTGGGAAAAAGAATGATTTTCAGCATGTGAGTAACTTGCAGTTACTCAGTCAGTGAATTACCTTGTTCTGCTTTTGAATGAGAACATTGCATTTAGCTCTTCTAAGTTTACTTACAGGGGAAAAATGGGGGAAAAAGTTTGATTTCCTTTGGTGAGTTGTATTAAATCAAACCTCAAGATACTCTTGATGGCATCTAAGAGTTGTTGTAGAATAGCTCTTACACTCTAAATTCTGCTGTAATTTATTGTACAATAGCTTCTCAATGTAGGCATGCTGAAGTAATTACTCTGGTAGGGTTTCAAGAGATCACTCCTTCAAGATTTTTCTTTATGCTTGTGATTAACCGTAGCATCAGTACGACAGTACCTGTTGTAAAGCTGTTTTGAAAAGTGGAAATGATGTGTGCACTTCGAAACACTGAAATGTTTGTAATCAGCTAGCCAGCTCTGTTAGTTGATACAGAGGAACAACTGTCCATGCACTTCAAGTCAGGACTCTTCCGCTGAATCAAGAGAATGAAACTGTATGATTGTACTGTGTGTGTCTTATTTAATTTTAGGTTTTTCCTATTAAAAGTGTTTATATACGTATTTTACATTTCCAGCAATGAGTGAAAAATGTATTTCAGAAAGTCTATGTGGAAGTCCTTCATCACGTACTGACCATCATCGCCGTGTGCTGTGGAGTCTGTCATCTCTGTTGACCTGATGCTGTTACCATAAAGCTAGTACAGAACTGGGGCTTTTTTACTGCCAACAAGATGCTACAGGGAGGGGATCTGCTGCTGCTAGCAGCAGGATTTAGCACCTTTTGGTTTAGTGGTGACATGTGACAGCAAGATCACTTCTCCTTAGATGGAACAGCTTACTTTAATGGTCCATTTTAATGGTCCAAATGCTTGTTCTGCCCTGTTCTAGGTGTCAGTGCTGAAACTCTCACTCCTGCTCTACAACTTCCTTTAGCTGTTGCTGTTAAAGCCTCCACTTCTCCCTGGCCTGGCAGGGCTGATGTTGTTTCTCAAATCCTCATGTCTGGATAAGATTAATACTTTATTAATGAAGTTGCTGTGGGTAGATGTCTGAACATTGGTTAGGTACAGATTGGGAGAATGGGTCGGTTTGTTGTGGGGTTTGTTTTTGATAGTTTTTTTGGTTGCTGTTAAACCGTAGTTGTAACAGCACTAGATCTAGTGTGAGAACTGTCACTCCTTTTGGAGATGGGGGTGTCATTTGGTGCTGCAGAACCCAATAGTTCTCAGGAACTTTAAGTAAATGATAATTAAGTTGAAGAAAACACAAGAGAATAATTTTAATTAAAGAAAAAGGGAGGGGTTGTGCCTTGTTCACATTCTTGCTTATCTTTTAATTTAATTTTATTTTATTTCTAAGATTTGAGACAGAGTAGCATTTCATCTGATGTGGAGACCAAGCCCTAACTCAGTAAAATAAGGAGTTAATAATAATTGCTCCCAATGAAAATTGCTTTAAAAAAATGCTGAAGTAAACTCTGTGAGCAAATACTCCATGGATAATACTGATCATTAATACTGAAAAGCAG